TAAGTCAAAAATCAACACACCAGTACCTAGCAACAGTGGCAAAAGTAAGACACACCCATATTCCCAAACATATTTGTATTGGGATACCTGGAGTTTCTTGTTGTATGTTTTCCCCCAAAGTAGGTATTACTTAAGGAAACTTGGCAGTGCAATGGGTTAAGCGTTAGGCTGCTAACTACAAGGTCAGTGGTTCAAACACACCACTCACTCCGTGGGAGAAAGATGAGGTTATATTGTTCCCATAAAAATTTACAGTCTCAAAACCCCAAGGAGCAATTCAGCTCTCCTAGAGTTGGAATCAACCCAACAGTAGCAGGTTGGGTTTGGGCATAGTTTTCACACTTTGCAGTGGCCTTGGTGGCACAGTGGTGAAAGCACTCCACTGCTAACAGGAAGGTGGGCAATTCAAACCCACCAGCCCTTTTTCAGGAGAGGATTTGATAGTCCACTTCTGTAAAGATTACAGTCTTGGAAACCCTTACTCTGTCCCATAAATCTCTGAGTCAGACTTGATTTAATGGGAGAGGGTTTATGTCTTATCTTGAGTTGGTCTAAACCATTTACTGCCCCAGGGAATGTGCTAGTTGGGTGAGGGAGCTGGGTAGGGTCTTCAGAATTGCAACCTCTTGTTTTAACTGTTCACTAAAATCAGAACACAGCCCTTCCACCAGAGAGTTCCGAGAGCGTTCCCATCTGCTGTCTTATTTATTCTCAAAACATTCCTGGGAGCTTGGAGGCGGAAGAGGACTTGGGGGGGAGGGGGGGAGTCACACGATATTTTTAGCTCCACACTTCAGATCTGATCCCTGTTTTGCATTTTAACCCAGAGTAAACTATTACTTCTACTGATTTCTCCTATAAGCAGGCCAAGTGTCAGTCACAGCATCCCCGAATGTTAAGGATCGTTTCATGTTATGTTTACAAGCTGGGCTGCTCATCGCAAGGTCAGCGGTTTGAATCTAACAGTCGTTCCTTGGGAGGAAAATGAGGCTTTCTGCTCCCATAAATGTTGACAATCTCAGAAACCCTATACTGGGTCGCTATGAGTTGCAATCAACTTGGTGCCACACAACCACCAACCACCATTTATTTCTAAAGTGGCGTTCTGGTGTGGCGCTGTAGGATAAAGCACTCGACCGTAAGGTCGGTTTGAACCTCAAGGTTGGCGGTTCAAACTCAGTAGCTGCTCCTAGGAAACCCTACACAGGGTCGCTATGAGTCAGAATTGACCCGATGGTGCTTCATAACCACATTTCTAAAGCAGCTTTTACATGGACATCATATGAAAATCCAAACTTTGGTTGGATTTTTTCAGTTGACATATTCTCACCATTATTACGATTTCCCTTTTAATTTGGAATTGTCTTTATTTCACGTTTATGCTTACTCTTTTTTCATTTGTTTTTTCTAATTGTGGTAAGTATATAGGTAACAAACACGTGCCCATGCAACCTTCCTCCCATGAGCAGTTCAGTAACATTAAATATGTCCCATCCTGTTCCACCATCAACCATTCCCAATGTCTTCTGCCACCCTCAGTGTCCCCTCCCTTTCCTTCCCCTCCCCACCCGTGGCTTAGTTTTAAAAATAGTAATTGTTGTTGAAAGGAGCTCTGGTAGTGTAGTGGTTACGAATTGGGCTGTGAACCGCAAGGTCAGCAGTTCGAAACTACCAGCTGTTCCGCAGGAGAAAGATGAGGCTTTCTGTTCCCATAAAGATTTACAGTCTCGGAAACCCTATACAGGGTCGCTATGAGTGGAAACTGACTCCACGGCACACAACAACAATTGTTGTTGAGAATATGCACAGCAAAACATACACCAATTCAAACGTTTCTATGTATATACCTCGTGCTGGATTTTAAATTCAGTGTTAATATTATTTTGGGGTTACATGTGGGTGGGCGTCAGCATTGCTTTGGGCCTCTAGAACCTCTGAGGATCTTAGACTGACCCTGGTTTTGTGCTCAGTCACAAAGTAAACAAAGGCTGGACCAAGGTGACACCTTGGGTTTCCGCCACCGCACACCATAGAGCCTGGGTTCAGTGCCTAGTGACCCCATGTGACAGAGTAGAAGTGCCCCCATACACTTTGTTAAGCTGTAATCTTTATGGGGGAGTCCTTGTGTGGTGCTGTAGGTTAATGTGCCAGACTGTAAAGCCATTTGAACTGCAAGATTGGCAGTTCAAGCTCACCAGCTGCTCCTCAGAAACTCAATACAGGGTTGCTATGGGTCGGAATCAATTCAACGGCACTTAACAAGAACAATCTTTATGGGAACAGATTACCAAGTCTTCCTTCCACAGAGCATCTGGGTGAGTTTGAACTGCTGACCCTTCAGTTAGCAGCTGAGCACTTAACCACGGCACCACCAGGATTCCTTAGGTGCTATACTAGACAGTTCATATCTACAACCTGCTCTGAAGGAAGCGGAAGGTGAATGTAAGAAGAAGATCACATGATCCTAAGTCATACCCCGACACCAAATGGCTCAGAAACAATCCTGGAAACGTTTCTCATCTTTACCTGTGTACATGATTCACTCGAGGTCCTCGCCCAGCTCCGCAGGCCCGCCTGTGACCATGATGAACTGATCTGCAGCAAATCGTGATTCTGTTTCCTTTCACGTCCGTAATGAATCCTGTGGACACCATTGTGGCTTCGTGCTGATGGCCCCTCAATGGGATGATTTGTCTTTGTCTTGTCTGTGCCCTGTTTAAGGCTTCATAAAGGGGTCTCTATAAAAAAAAAGAGTGAAGGAGCTCTGGTAGTGTAGTGGTTACAAATTGGGCTGTGAACCACCAAGGTCAGCAGTTCGAAACTACCAGCTGTTCCGCGGGAGAAAGATGAGGCTTTCTGCTCCCGTAAAGATGTACAGACTCGGAAACCCTGTACAGGGTCTCTATGAGTCGGAACTGACTCCACCGCACATAACAACAACAACAATACAAAAAAAGAGTGGCGTCCAAGTGTAGCACTATAGGATTAGCACTGGACTGGTAACTATAGGGAAGGTTAGTGGTTCAAACCCATCAGCCACTCCTTGGAAATCCTCTACAGGGTCGCTATGAATCAGAACTGACTCAATGGCAATTAACAACATTTTTTTTTTTTTTTTAAAGAAGTAGGTGAAGTGACACATGACAGGTAGGACCTGAGTGCCCAGCAGTCCAGGGCCTGAACGTGACCAAGCAGGGACACAAGCCCATGTCCTGTGCGTGCCTTCCAGCCCCCATCCGGGCTGACCTATTGTCACGGCCTCTGACACCCCCTTCCTCTCTCCTCCCAGGGAAGCGACAGTGAGTATGAGGCGGACCCGAGCCACCAGAAGGCCCACTCTTTTGTCAACCACTATATCAGTGACCCCACTTACTACAACTCGTGGAGACGGCAGCAGAAGGGGATCTCGCGTGCCCAGGCATACAGCTATACAGAGAGCGACCCGGGAGAGCCGGACCATGCCACCCTCGCCAACAGCAACAGCACCCAACAGGGAAGTCTCTTCCGGCCCAAGGCCAGCCGGACTCCAACGCCCCAAAACCCCCCTAACCCTCCGAGTCAGCAGAGCGCCCTCTACCGACCCCCCAGCAGCCTTGCTCCTGGCTCCCGGGCTCCTATAGCAGGATTTTCCTCGTTCGTGTGACACCCATTGGGAGAGGAGGAAACAAGAGCAACATACCAAACTCCCCCTCCACCCTTCCACCTCCCACCCCTTTACCCCACACTGCCTGCCAGAAAACAAAAACACCAAGAAACCAACTTTCACCTCCCAAGTTTTATGTTTCCAGCGATTCAGGGCCAGCCAAGCCAGGTGGAGCAGGAAGAAGAGAAACCCACGAGGGCTGTATGGCTAGGGGATTGTTGCTGCTTCAGAAACTGTACCGAGTGGGGGGTGCTGTGGTATGGAGTTGGGGCAGGAGGGCAGCCGACCGAAATGGAGGGAGGGAAGGTAAAGGACTGGGTGTGGCCGACGGAGCCCTGGTGTGGCCAGCAGCCCTGTCCAAGAAGTGTGCACCTGAGCCTACAAGCGAAGCTACTCTGTAAGGATGGGTATCCCAGAGTCAAAGCTCCATCCTCTCTCCCTGTGTTCCTGGAAGTGCCCACCCCCGGGCCTGCCCTCTCAACCTCCCTCAAGATTTTCACTGGGTGTTTCCACCCAGTGTTTGGTTCATTCAGGAAAAGGAAAACCGAAAGGGTGAGAACTGGCTTAGCTAGCTCTTGTTCCTAGCATATTTTTTCTATTGTGAAACCGAGAAAAAGAGCCCCTGGGGTGGGGGAGAGGGTCCTCTACTACTGCCAGCGTTTGACCTGAGTCCCCTTCCCTGAGCACAAACTAGGAGAGACCAAGTGGGAAGTGGAGGTATCCAGCGACAGGACAGACACAGACAGGGTCCCTGGAGGAGGCACAGGAAGCCAGGAACAGAAGACTGCAGCTTGGACTTTTTTTACATGTCAGGGACCACCTGCCGCATCCTTCAAGGAAGTGCCAGAGCCAGAGAATTCAGCTGCCTGGGTCGGGGAGCCGGGCAAGGAAGAGAACTTGCCCTTTGGGCAGACACCCAGTCTCTAGAACCTTCCTCTGTGTGTGTGTATGCACATGTAAACACACATGTGTGTGCACATGCATGCACTTGCAGACACGTGTGCATGCCACCCCATGTACATTCATAGACGGTGTGCATACATGCATGCAGGCTCCCATGTGTGTGCGCACACAGTGTACACACATGGATGCATACATTGTGGTATCCCATGCAGGCACAAGCATTCCATGTACACCTGCAAGTACGCATGTGCATTGCACATATGCACACATACAGGTACACAACCACATATGATGTGTGTCCATGTAAGTATGCAAACATACCTGCACATCTGTGCAGTACACAGATGCACACAAACATGTGCAAGTGCGTACGTATGTGTGATGTGTGTGTCCATATAAGTATGCAAACATGCTTGCATATGCGCACATATGTACACTGAGCATGGGCACACCCATGTGTACACATACATACATATACAAGTACAAGATCACACATACAAATACACATATATGTACACCTGTGCAAAATCTTGCATACCATCCCCCATGAACACTCACACATGGAACATGCACATGTGTATGTGTACACACAGTGTACACACATGCACACACATGGGTGCACACATGGTTTCCCATGCACGTGCTAGGCCCAGGTCTAGAGACTCTCTCCAGAAGCTGTCAGCCCCTTGGGTCCCCCTAATGGGACAGCACCCTCCCATTCAGATCAGTGCACTGCTCTGAGTCTCCAGGTCTCCGGGGCTAAAACACCCCCACCTCCTAAGTGCAGCAACAAGGAGCAGCGTTCCCATGTGCCCAGCCCCTGTTTATAGTTGAAGAGCACCCCAACCCAAGTAAAGTCTTCCCTGGCGAGGACTGGGAGTGGGGGAGGTCCTTTAGGAAGTTTGACCCAAAGTGGACCAAGCAACCAAGGTGCTCAGCCACACCCATCAAGAGGGGTGGTCAGCTGGGCTGATGTACAAGAAAGCTGATGAAAGGGAAAGCTTTTACCCCCAATCTGCCCTCCTAGGACTGTTCCTTAAAAGGCATCTGCTAATGGCCTGGTTCTTCCCATCAGCTGGGGACCTCCAGATATGATGGAGAGGGAGAACTTGTCCATGCCATTTCCAGATTGGCTGGACCCCTGGGGACCCCAGCAGGCCCACTGCATCATCTGGGACCTTCTGGGGGTGCTGGGCCTGGGCACTGCTGGCCTTACTTCATAGGAGAGTTAGGGAGCCCAAGAGGAAACACAGGAAGACAGGCTGGTACCCCTGCCCATGCTCACCCCAAATCAGCCTTGTGCTCATGCTAAGTGGGAGTAGAAGCCAGCCGGGTGGTGGCTCCTGTGGAGTCCCCAGGATCCCTGGGAAAGGGCGCTAGGGCAGTGATAGGAGCCAAGCTGACCCAGTGCCGGCGTCCAGATGGCGGTCTTAGAGGGCAATCCCACGCTTCTCCCTAAAGGAGGGTACAGGGTTGGAGTTCCCACTCCCCCAGGACATGAGGGCACTCAGGGCCAGGGAGGGGCCGGACGCCTGCCCATCTGCAGCTGCTGCACACCCCTCTCGTTGCTGCCTTTTTCCATTCCGGTTTATGTTTATTTTTTTTTAACAATCTCATCCTTCTCCCCCTCTGCCGTGTGTGTTTAACCATATCAGAAAGTTCCCAGTGTGCATTAGGGAATTGTTCTTGTCCAGCCTAGTGAGGGGCTTTTTGGGGGGCTAGTGGTGTGAGTCAGAGCCTGATTATGTGAGTAGAGGGCTCATGAGGCCAGTTTTCCTCTGCCTTCAATGAATCACCCGATGCACTGTTACCTACCCCTCCCCCCACCAGGCTTATTCTCACACGTGTGCGCACACACAGATATGCACAGGGCACACGTTTGCTTTGCAAAGAGACTCTTGCAACTTGCAGCTGCTGCTGGTGGCTGGAGCTGTCCCTTCCCTCTGCAGCACAGAGGGTCTGAGTCGCTCACTGAGGCGAGACTCAGAGCTATTGTCTGAGAGGATGAAAAGAGGTTGCAACCAGAACTCTTAAAAGACCCATCAAGGCAGGTGGGGGCCACAGTGAAAGTCCCACGCTAGAAATGTGGCGGCTTTAGCAATAAACACTGGAATTTACACCCTTGGAATCCTTATACAGGGTCGTTATGAGTCAGAACTGACTCGATGGCACTTAAGTCTGTGTTCACCTGAGGTTGGCCTCCACCAGCCCTAGCCCCACTGGAAGCCCACCCAGGTCTCCAGCTGTGAGACTCCAGGTGTTTCCAGAGGACCTGTCTTTGCCCTGTTTATGTATCTCCTGGGGTAATAGGTGACCCACTTCCCAGACATGTGGCCACATTAGAAGGGTGTGGTGGACTCAGGGAGCCTCCCAGACCCTGGATCTCCTGGACCCTGTTTATGTGATTCCATCAAAGTAGTTATACACCAGGTCACTGGCCACCTGGCACCTCTGGCTATGCCTTGCTCTGCCTGAAGACAGTAGGAGGCGTCATTCCCGGGTCCTGCACCCAGGAGCCCACGCTTGGCACACCAGGGCTACCTGACCTCTCCTGGCCATGCCACCAGCATTAGCTCCAAGACTGCTAAGAAGAACCAAAAAGATGCTCTGGTCTACAAGAGCACCTTTCTCCTTGGGTTCTGGGGGATTTGCAAACCCAGGCTCCCCATCCATCTCCCGCCCACCCCCTGCCCCAACACTGCCGTGATTCTGAGGAGCCAGGACACTGAGGGGCTGCCCCACCTGGCGCACACTGCCTTGAGGCCTTCTGTCGCTGCCCATGCCTCCTTGGGCAGTGTTTTTAAGGTGCCAGCACCCTCCCCCCCTCACCCACAGCACTGCCTCTACCTTCCCAGAGGGCCCAACTGAAGGTGCCCCTTGGGCTGTGGGCTTGAGTTCAGAAGGTGGGAGCCAGCTCAGCAGCATTCCAAGCAAAAGCTGCCCACCCGTCAAGTGCCGGGAGCCCACACAAGCCCACTACCACAGCTCCCTGGCCACCACCCTAACCACAGGTGCCCCAAGGACTACCCCCCTTCTCTTTGTTTAGATAAAAATAACCCAAAGTATTTAAACACATTACCTTTCTTTATGCATATAGATTCCAAAAAAAAAAATTATCAACACAAATCTTTATTTTTTTGATTTAAAAGATATAATGAGAAGCTATGGGAGAGAGCGCTCATTACAGCAGGCATCTTATCTGTAAGAAAAAAGTATATATCTCTATGTCATATAGCTTGTTAGCAGGTTTATTTTTTAAATGAAAAGAAAGAAATTGATTTGAAATATATACCACGAGAAGTCCCACGTCCTGTCAAACTGTCAGTATTTTATAAATAAACTTTTTTTTTTGGAGTTTGGAGACCACATTCATTCTTCTCCTTCTAGGACAGTAAGTGGGGGCACCTGTCACCTGTCCCCACTTGCTTCTCTTCCAAGATTGAATGACCAAGTCAACCAAACCTTTTGGGTTGGGGCACTCTACCAGGGTCTAGGTTACCCCAGTGGGCAGAGGCGGTCAAAGACCAAAGAGCATCACATGAGCAAGGGTCCAGAGGGGTCTGGGTGCAATTACAATGAAGGCAGGCAATGGGTGCATGCAACGACTCCAAGGAATCTGCCCGTGAAGTCTGGTTGCATGGACAGGGACCCAATCTACTACTAACCCAACTCTGAACAGAACAGAAGGACCCCCTCATGGTCCTCAATAAACACCAACCACCTCAGGTATACCTGGCTGCAGATAGCCACTTCAACTGCCTGGTTTTGAGAAGGCTCTTTGGTTTGGGTTCTGCCCGGCATCTCCTTGTGGGTCCCAGGTAAGGTGGCTGATGAATAGGGTCACCTTATGACCTGGCTTGTATGGATTATCCTGGTATCCTTATGAATAATGCTGTTCATCCCCAGATTAATTACTGGTTCCCCTCCTCATGAGTGATATTTGACAATCTGGGCAGCCTGTGTCCCCGCCTGAAATCCCTCATCTAGAACAACTTCTGGAGATGAGGACTTGGAGGTTAGCGTGGAAGAGGCAGGTGGTGTCCAACACTGTATCTCCTGCCCAGGACTAGTTGGAACACCAAGCCCACTGCCACAGG